CAAAGATGACCAAGGCTGGGCATCTGGCTCTAGGCAGGACTCCCAACCTCGCACCCCAAGTGGGCTATAGGTCAGTGGACCTGCTGATCCCACCTGGCCTGGGACTGGGCGGACCCCAGCAGGAACCTCAGGAGCCCCCAGCTCTCTGTGTGGCTGGGAACGGGATCCATGTTCCCAGGACGCTCTACCCAGGGTCTTGAAACACGAGTGAGTCTGTCCTCAGTGTTTACAGCCAGCCCTGATGATCAGCAGAGGCCCCTCCCCAGACGGGAGCTGTGGCCCTGGCCTATGCCCTCCAGCCTGGGGAGAGGAGCCGTCTTGAAGCTTAGAAAGCAGCTGAGGTGGGGCATGTGAGCCGAAGAGCAGAGGGCGCCTGCAGAGGTGAGTGGAGGGAGGCAGGTCAGGTTGGCAGGGGCAGTTGCTGCCAGGAGCTGGGGGCAGCCTGCTGGGGGGAGCAGCTGGATCGTGCCTGGGCTGCTGACCGACTCAGGGTAGGTTGGCGGGGTGGGGAGCTGCCTTCTTCGGAGGACTTTGCAAGGATAAAGCGTGGGATATCAGAGATGACTCACATCTTCTTCTGTTCCTGGGTGGGAGGGGTCAGTGATGAAGGGAGGCCGGGAAGGGACACACATGGGTCACATAGCTGGGCCCAAACCCGGCTCTTTCCCAAAGAAGTGCTGGACTCACGCCTGGGGCTTCCCGGAGCGCCCTAGAGAGACCACATGGAGCGGCATTCTTCAAGGCCATCCTGACCCTTTCATCTTAGTGAAATTGCAGGTTTCAAGCCGTTGCCAGGGCTCCCGCCATGCCCCTCAATTAGGGTGGCCCGCCCACTGCTGCTGGGGGCCCTCAGGGCAGCCCTTCCTGGGAGAGACAATTCCAGCTTCCATTGCCTCTTCTCGGGGGCCAGACCTGGTGCTTGTATCATGGAAACTGCTTTTAAAAACCCAGCTCCTGGGGAGACAGGGATGTGGGCTCAGCACTGGGCTGAGTGCAGCCACCCCGTCTCCCTGCAGGACCCTCTCTGGGCTCCCACAGCTGTGATGTCACCGTGACTCGCAGCGGCTGCTGAGCACCCAGTGTGAGCCCCTCCTGGCCAGCTCGGCGCTGACGCAAATCAAAAGCTTCCAGATCCCAGAGCAGCTGCGCCGCCCCAGCTGGCAGTCCTAGGCCGCCAGGTGGGGAAGGTGGGGTTCTGGCATGGGGCCTGGCATTCGAGGTCATCAGCTGCTCTTCAGGGACAGCCAGCATGGGGCTCCCCAGAGGTCCGGGAGAGGCAGATACCGTGAAGCTCCTGGTGGGGACGGTGGTGTCATGAAGCCACAGGTCCTGCCTGCCAGACCAGACCCTGCTCGTCTCCCTGTTCCCCAGGGCATGGTGGCCCCTTGGCTCTGGTCGCTGGCTGTTTGGCTCAAGTGGCACCTGAAGCACGGCAGGAATCCAGGCCAGGATGCCCACAGGCTGTGAGGCAGGCACCGCGCGTGCCCCGGGAGTGTGAAGATAGTCCCCAGGAGCATCATGCAGGGCCGCATCTGTGGGTGCGGGGGGCGGTGAGTGGCACCTGGTCTGTGTCCTATTTCCTCTGGGTCCCTTTCACCTGGGTTTCTTAACAGAAGCCAGTGGGAGCTGCAGCACTGGCTTCCAGGGTCTGCCTCACCTTTCAGAAGACCCTTGCTGCGGCGGCTTATGGCCACACAGGCACGCGGAAGGCTCCTGTAAGGAATGAGTCTTCTGAGAGCCACTTGGGGAAGCCTGGGGGCCCTTTAGGACCCGGGAGCCACCATGGAGACCTCGACTGCCCTGGAGAGCTCCACCCACCGCTCCACAGACACACGGGGCCAGCCTGCCGGAGCGACCTGTGCATCCTTAAATATACACTCACACACATGCACATACACATGTACACATGTGCTCACACATGCACGTACACGTGCTCACACATGTGTATGTAAACATGAGCTCACACACATACACATGTACATATGTGCTCACACACATGCGCTCACATGCACATACACATGTACACATGCACTCACATGCATGTACATGTGCTTGCACAGGCACATACATATGTGCTCACACACGCAGGTACACATGTACACGTGCTCACACACATGAACATACACATGAGCTCACACACATGTACACACACGTACACATGTGCTCACACATTCCTGTGCACACCCATACATCACACTGCATGCAATACATATGCACACACACACACAAAGCACTCACACATGCACATGACATGCACACAATACACATGCATGCAAAATGTGCGCATACAGGCACACAGCACATATGCGTGTGTGCACATACAAGCACATGGGTAAGAGCTGAGAGCGTGTCTCAGGATTTTAAGTGTTTTTCTGTCCCCCTCCAGGACACACTCACACTGTGCAGTTGGGACTGAGTCCCTTTGCCCTGCACTCCATGGGCATGGAAGAGCAGGGTGTCCAGGGGCTGAGGTCAGCCACCTGAGGGCTGACGAGGAGGCCACTGCCCAGGGTCAGGGTGATCCAGGTGGGCAGGACAAGACTGGAGTTGAGGACAATGACTTGAGGCCCCTCCAGGGCACCTTTGCCCCTGAGAGGCAGCCTGGGGTGAGAACTGGCTCCAGCCACCTTTCTCTGATATGTGAGGCAGACAGTCACGGGACATGGTGGACATGACACTGCTGTGCAGAGAAACCCCTCTGTGTACACAGCCCAAGTTCACCGGGCGGTCAGAGCTGGGTAAGGACAGGGAACACAGCAGCCCGTGACCTCTCAGCCACTGCAGAGGCCACCTGTGTGGGTGGCCCTCAGAGGGCAAAACCCTCCCTGGGGAGGCACCTTCCTGGCCTGTGCATTCTTGCCTGGAGACAGGAGCCACCAGCCCCCGAGCTGTTTACCTTCCGTCTGGCGGCCCAGCAGGGAGCCACTGCCCTCCCTCTCTCCTGGCCTAGGAGGCCTTGTCCTGGCTTTGCCCTGGGCGGGGACGCTCTGCACTGTGCTACCCTCTTTCCCCAGCAACCGAGGGCCACCAATGGCTCCAGGGACAACCCTGCCTCTAAATTGGGGCCATGGACACCCAAGTTACCCACAGAACAAGTGCCCTTTTCCATGTAGTTCGCTGAGGTGCAGACCCAGAGCTCCTGGCATTGCTGGTGGAAACTTCCAGAAGCATGCAGCAGGATTGCCATAGGGTTAGGAAGCCAAGTGACCAGCAGACAGGCAGGTGTTTCTTGGCAGGACCCCTCACCCCCGGGGCCGGCCCCTGAACTGCATCTCCTGCTTGGGTCAGGGCCAGCCTGCTCCCCAGACACCCCAGGTGCTCCCACAGCAGGGCCGGACTGGCAATCCTGGGTGGGGCTGGTGTAGTGGCCCCAAAGACAAGCCCTGAGCCTGGGCGAACCCAGGGGCTCTGGCTGCAGCTCACCTGCCTGCCCAGGAAGCGGATGCTGGGGGTCTCTAGGAGGCTCCTTCTCCCCATGGGCTCCCCTGCAGCCCCTCCCCTGCCTCCCGGTGCACTTCCCTATGAGGGGTGTGGATTTGGCCTTAATAACCTAACATTGGCCCAGGCTGCATTTGCCGACACACGGCAGACTGACGGTCATGCCCCCACATGGCTGGGCTGGTGGCTGCCAGCAGCACATGTGGACAGAGCTGCAGGGGGACCACCTAGCAAGAGTTTCCACCCTCAGGCACAGCAAAGGCCAGAGAGGCGGAAGGACCCCGGGCCCCGTCGCAGCCCGTGGGGAAAGCAGTGGTCAGGAGGGGGCTAATGGAGGGTTGCTCGGTCACCCCAAGCTGAGGAGTGGTTGATGGCACAGCCGCCTCGGCCCTCCTTCTCTGTTGGCAGGTAAATGGAGGCCCAGGTGGCCCCTAGACCAAGGGAGACGTCTCTGCTCATTTTGGCTGAGCAAGGCCAGAGGCAGCCAAGGGTTTGTTTCCCTGCCCACTCCCAGTTGAAAGTCAATATCCCACACACTCCACACTGCCCTTTAGATCCTAAGACGTAAATATTTGCTCTTCCATTAAGAAAATAATCAGCAGTCCTCCTGTAAGTGCAGCGTACACTCTGGTGCCCTTCAAAAGCAAACGCCGCGGTTTCCAAACAAGGAGTGGAGAAGGCCTGGGTGGGGGCTCCTGGGAGCGCACGCCAACCCTGTGGGCTCTGCCCCAACCTGCCTGAATGTTCTGCAAGCCCTGGGGAGCCAAGGAAGGAAGCTGAGTGTGGGGAGGGGGAGGCTGGCAGGAGCCCAGGGCGCGGAGGCCAAGGCAGGGAGGAAGAGCAGGCTGCTCCTGGCCACTTGGTATTGCACGGCCATCCCCAGGTCCGGCCCCGGGACAGCAGGCAGTGGCTTCTGCAGGGAGTAAGCCGTCTCCAGGTCCCCAGCCCCCACCTGGCCTTGCCAGAGCAGCAGTCAGAGGGCAGAGAGGCAGGGATCTTCAGCTGCACAGAAGGTCTGCGTGTGGGTCTGTTCTGCTTCTCACTGCACACGTGGCCTCGGCAGCCTGTCCACCTCTCCAGGCCTCAATGTTCTCATTTGTTAACGAGGGAATCACAGCTTCCTGGCACCACCACTGACCTCCCTGGGCCGGAGCAAGCTGTGGCCGGTAGCTGGGACCTGTTGGAAATAATTCTCGGTGCACAAAGAAAAAGTAGCACGGAGACAAAGCATTTTTCGGCAACACAATTTTTACTTCCTGGCCATATTTTACCTTTTGTTTTTTTACTTTTTAACACTTTTTACTTTTTAGCATTTTAACATTTGCCCACCACAGCCTGTGGCCTGGGGCGTCTCGTCCTGATGTTGTGTCCGTGACCTCATGTCGGCAGCTCGGAATTGGCCGTGCTAGGAGTGTTTGCACATGGGAACTGGCAGACGCTGGGCATCAAAGCCAGGTCACTGCCCACCCATGGCCCTGGCCTCCCAGGTCCCCACGTGCTCATCCCGGAACTGCATTATGAGCACCTCGGACTGGAACGGCTGCTTATGAGCAAAGCGCTACAGGAGTCACATGAATACACGAGAAAACCAAGGAATGACTAAATAAACATCTGGGGCCATGCTCCCTCACGTCTCCACTTCTGGTGTCAGAACTCCCCGGGGCAGGGAGCAGCCCCTCCCCACAGCGCCTCCCCTGCAGAGAAGACATCCCAGGAACCCTCACTGCAGCAGGGGCGAGCATGGCCGCCCGCCTTCATCCCACATCACGAGGGCCTCGTGCAAGTCCCGAGCGGTCCATGTGCGTGCAGGAAGGCCAGGTGCCTGCGCTTGCTGCCTGCTTGCTGTAGATTTGGATGGAGCTGCCTGGAGCCTCCTGGGCGTGTGCGTTCCTGCACCCTGGCCCCCAGGGAGAGGCTCCTCACTCCCAGCTCAAGCAGCTCCTGGAAGTTGTCTGGATCAGGACCCCGCTCCAGGCCACACTCTGGCTGGGCGCCAGGTTTGGGGCTGATCACGTGAGATTCCCACGGCCCTGGGTTAGAGTCTGCTCCAGGGCTGGGGGAGCAGGGAGGTGCCGGCCGCCCAGACCCCACCGTCTCATCTGGGCCTGAGGCTTCGGCCCCCAGAGCGCCTGCTTCCTGCTGCTCAGAGGGTGTGAGAAGCTCCTGCCCTGCTGGAGCTCAGTGAGGACCCCTCTGGCTTCCTTCATTTTAATCACGTCTTTCCAGGGACCTCTGGATCTGATGCCCACCAGGGCTCCCTGGGCCTCTCTTAGGGGAGGGTGTTACTGGCTTATTTTCTGCCAACAGGAGCAAAGGGTGAGGCAACAGATAGACCTGAGTTGGGGGGTGGAGGGTCAGAGACCTGTGGTCACCTGTGACCCAATGGGAACAGGCAAGTCTGGGGAGCTGTGAGTAAGAAAGCACTCTGGCCTGGCCACGTGCGCTGATGGGGGGCCTGTTCCCCTGATGGAGGCCCTCCCTGCGGCTTCCTCTGCTCTTACCTGCGCCCCTCCTTCCTTCCTGGAGCACCCCTGCCCGAGCCTGTCCTGGCCCCGTTTTAATCCACGCTGCTTCCTCCTCTGGATCTCCGGCCATCAGGGAGGCCCCTCTCACGGGCCTGCTGAGCTCCACCACCCCCTACTCCTGCAGAAGACACCTCTTTCACCTGCCCCAAGGACCAGGCAGCCTCCACCCGGGTTTCTCCTGCATCCCCTCATTCCAGAGGGCTCCCAAGGGCAGAGGCAGCTTGAAGTGAGAGTCTGTGGACGGCAGGCCCGCCTCAGGGGAAGCACACACAGCCTCTGCCGAGCTTGGAGGGTCCCAGTCACCCATGGTCAGTCACCATTCTCCAGCTTGGGGCACGCTGAGCACGGCTGGGAGATGGTGCAGCGAAGGCCCGGAGGAGGTCCTAGCCCAGGCCGCCGGGTGCCTGGCCTGGCTGCTTGGAGAGGGGCAGCCCCTGTGGGCCCCTGGAGGGCCTCTTCTGTGCCAGTGCCCCCACGGCACATGCCGCCCAGGAGTCCCAGGCCCCGGGTCAGGAGGGTGACCACCGCCTGCCTGCACAGGCTGAGGAGCGAGGTCTTCGAGCCTTTGCTTCCTGGCCCGTGGCTGACCGACCCCTGTGCCAGGAACAAGTACGCCGGCCTCTGCAGCTTGGGACGAGACAGCAGCCCCAGCAGAATGCTTCTGGATTGGATCTTCGTGTCCCTCATCTGGCAGCTCCCAGACCACACTGAAGGGGTCAGACACCCAGGTCTCCATACCTCTTGGGGAGCTATGACGGCGCCCCCATCTGTCTGTTTCGGGTGTAATGGGGAGTCCACAGGCCCTGGAACCTGCCAGCAGCTTCAGGTGGCTGCACCTGACCTTCTAGTTGGTACTGAGAGGTCCTTGGCCCTCACCCCCCACCGCCATTGCCACCAAAGAACTCTGTGGTTACCTCAACCTCAGGCCGTGTGGCAGGGACCCCAGGGCCGGCCCTTCTCACCAGGCCCAGTTACAAAGGCAGGGATGGACCCCAACCCTACAGAAAGCAGGGACCCACGCCTTCCAGATGGTTCCCCCACTGCCCCAAAGCACACCTGACGGGTCAGACCGTGGGCCCGATAAACAGATGCCCCACTTGACTGGTGCACAGATTTCCAGGAAACAGCAGTCAGCGGCCCCTCCATTCCTCTGAGGAGAGCAGGAAGAGCTTAGCCCTTTGTGAATTCCTTTCTTCCCCAGCACGTGATGGAGCCACGCCTCACTGCTCAGCATTGACAAGGAGGACAGATGTGCCCGGCAGGCTCCTTCTCACCCACAGCACCGGCCTCCAGCCCAGCCCTGGCCCTGCTAGTCGTGACCATCACAGCCCAGGCAGGGAAGGGACGTCAGGGCCCAGGGACCCTAGGACACCCAGTGGGAAGAGGCCTCAAATCAGCCAGGGCCTTAGGATGCCTGCTTGGATTGTGATTTTAGTGTCTCCTTTTGAACAGTCATGGGTTGGTTTTCTTGTGTATTAGAAAAAAATGTAGGGCGTAAAGACCAAGATGAAGGGTTCTGGAGTTTTTGGCGGAGGCTGAGTTCCTTGTCAGCCGAGCCGGCTGAATGAGAAACTCGAATCGCACCTCAGGTGTGGCTGAGAGCCTGCCACGTCTGGTGAGTGGCTGCAGCCGGAGGCCGCGCTCCTGCCCGCAGCTGTGGTCAGCACGCCGTCTCTGGAAGGGGCCTCGTGGTCTCTGGCCTCAAAGTGCAGAGGCAGCCACAAACGTGGGTTTGGCTTGTGCCAATTACACTGTGTTTATGGACCCGGAGATGGGAATTCTGTGTAACTCTCATGTGTCACAAAGCCTTTTTTCCCCCAACCATCTATAAATGTTAGAATCATTCCCAGCCTGTGGTCAGACATGGGCAGGCTGAACTTGGCCACGGCCGCAGGCCCACAGACCCAGGACGCTGAAGGGGCTCGCTGGGCAGGGCACGTGGCACTGGGCATCGGGGCCTGGGCTGGAACTCCTGTCCCTACCTCAGGGCCCCTAGCTAGGGGTCTTGGGGGCGTGGCGGACACTGGGTGTGGTTCCCACTAGCCATATCCCAGCCCCTTCCTGCCCCCATGGCATCAGTGGGGGGCCTGTTGCCTCTGGGGCTGGACGGATCCCCACTGGGCCACCATGCAGGCTGTGGGGTGCTGTGTGGCCAGGCCGGGCCCGGAAGGAGTTCCATCTGTCCGAGTAGAGAAAGAGGCCCCACCCAGAGAGAAACAGAGTGGATAGCAGCAGGAGGCTGGGTTGCCGAAGGCCCTAAGCCCAGCTTCTCCAGGGACTCGAAACAAACTTCCTTTTTTGCTTAAAGTTATTTCAAGTTCAGGTCTTATTTCCTGCAACTCTCAAAATCCTGAAGCTCCACGAGTTTTCCCTCGGCTCCCAGAGGAGACCCTGGAGGACCCAGCCAGGCTCACGGCAAAACAGCTCCTGGGAGCTCATGGCCCAGCGGGATGGGGTCCCAGCCTCAGCGAGGAAGCAGGGCCTGGGGGCGGGGCCCGCACGCCTGGGAGAGCAGGTGACACACCCAGAAACCCACCGCCTTGGACCTGCCCTGGGCAGCCCGAGACAATCAGGGCGGCGCAGACTGCGTTTCCCTGTGAGAAGCCCTCCTCCCGCCGCTGCCAGTCACGTCCCAATCTGCTTTTGACCTGTCCGGGGCGCCACGGCCCCGCCTGTGAACTGGTTGCTTAGCCAAGATGAGCCCGAGGAGCCGGCAGTTGTACCAGAATATTCCAAAGGCCCAGAGGCTGTCACAGACAGTGACGTGTGATAAAAATCCCCAAATGTCCCAGGGCAGGAAGCCAGTTTAACCCTTCCCATTTCCCTGCCTGCAGCTACTGTGGAAACCATCATTTCATAGGCAGAACTTACCGGTGTCCTGCTGGAAGCCATGTGTGTGTCTGACAAGAGACTGAGACATCTCTTGGCAAGCACGGCTGGCAGAGACCTGAATAAAGACCAGCGTCTTGGATTCCAGCACAGGCCCTAAAGGGGCGCTTGCTTCTTAAGGGGTCCAGGGGCTGAAGCTGGAGGAGGAGGCAGCCAGCTCCCGGGGGAGGGTGGAGGGCAGCCAGCATATCCCCGCGAGGCCCTGTCCGAGCTCAGCCTAGGAGGCTGGAGCTGCAGCCTCTGTCCCCCGCCCCACCCTTGGGGAGGGGCTCCCGAGGAAGGGTTGGCTGTGCCACCAGAAGCTGGGCCTGCCGCTCATTTCCATGGCCCTGGTGGCCTTCATGGAGGAAGCCATTGTGTGCAAAGGAAGGAAGGTAAGAAGCCACCTCCTTCTCTCACCCTATCTGGGGAAACCGAGGCGAGTGACATCTTAAGTCCCAGGGCGCTCCGTGGCACAGCTGAGACTCCAGCTTCTGTCTTCTGACTCCCAGGGAGGTGTCTTTGGGCCCCTGGGATGCAGGCTGAAAGGGCTGGTTTTGGAATCGGCTGCGCATGTTCATTTTCCTCAATTCTGCATTAAAATTGCCTCAAGTCCTAGTTCTGATGACACACGAATGTGTGTGTAGATTCTGCGTATACACAATGGAGCCAATTGATCAGCAAAAGTGTATTTTGCCATAATTTCAAACCGATGTTTCCTATGTAGTGACTGCGGTTTAAAGTCCCTGAAAAATGTTAATAAGAGGTGTGCGTTCTCTGGGAATCTAGCCGACCTCTTGAACCGAGGCAGTTCCGGAGCAGGAGCTATCCGGTCACCTCAGGGTAGAATCCCAAGGGAATTCTCTTCCTCCCCAAGCTCACTCTTTCCCGGCCCATCCCCCCTCCCCTGTCATCCTCTCTCGCCCTGTTTCTGTCACACACACTGTTTTCCAGATGGAGCTAACCCGCAGTCCCTCCGCCCCATCACAGGTGGTCCAGCATCTGGCAGGAGGGGCGTGTGGGGGATAGCCCCCCCAGGACCTTTGGGGGGACAGCCCCAAATGCAGGGGTGCATTGAAGCCCTCTGACACCTCCCCCCGCTCCAAGACATTCTGTGCCAGCCCCAGGTGGCTGGCTGCAGACCTCAGGGAACTGTGACTGTCAGGGGCCATCAGGACTGTGGGACCAACTCCCACTCAGACCAGATCTGGGGTGAGACGGGGGTGGAAGCATGGGGATGTGAGGGCCTGCATGGCTCAGGGCTCTGAGGGGACATTGAACACAGGTGAGCAACCCTCTCCATTCGGCCTGGACTAGGGGGTGTGGGACTTTTAGTGCTGAAACCAAGGAAGTCCCAGGCAGATCAGGGCCCTGGCCCCCTGTTGGGGTGGACGTCTGGGAGGGCTGTGGGGTGGCGGTGTACAGATGAAGGCTGAGACCCCAAGGGCCTGCCATCCCAACAGTGTGCCTGCCACGCAGGTCCCACCCCTTGGTGAGGGCAGTGTTGAGTCCTGGCCCGTTCCCCCCGCCCAGGCTCAGGTGGCAGCTGAGAAGGGCGAGGAGGATGCCTGGTCCCTCGCGCTGAACCTGCTGTCCTCAGGACAGGGGCTCCCCAGGGCCCAGGACACCATCTATGGAATAGTGGTCCTGGGTCCCATCCAACTGCCAGTGTCACCACACACGATTCTCCGACGCTTTTCCTCCTGGCTCCGGGAGACACCAGCAGGAAACACCGTGCCTGAGTGACATGAAGTGCTGCAGGGTCCCCAGCCCAGCAGGGTCCCCAGCCCAGCAGGTGTGGGAGCAGGGCTTGCTGGGTTCAGGGTGGCCCCAGCCGAGGCCTCCTGTCCAGGAAGCCACATAAATAATTTAAACCCTTTTTTCCTGACTATAAAAATAATACATATTCATTGATAGAGAGTTTGAAAATTAAGACCATTACGAGAAACAGAAGGAGAAAAACCACCATATATTCACAACAGCAAGAGAACACCATCAACATTGTGGAATGCTTCCTTCCGGCGCTGCCTGTTCCTGTGCATTTCAACAACATAAACAATGTGTGTGTGTATATGTGTGTGTGTGCGTGTGTATGTGTATGTGTGGGTATGTGTGTTGTGTATGTGTGTTGTGTATGTGTGTGTCTATATGTGTGTGTAAGTGTATATGCGCGTGTGTGCACCTATATGTGTATATGCATGTGTGTATGTGTGTGTATATGTGTGTGTGGGTTTGTGTGTGTGTGTGTGTGTCTATGTGTGTATGTGTGTATATGCATGTGTGTGTGGGGGTATGTGTGGGTGTGTGTATGTGTGTATATGCATGTGTGTGTATATGTGTGTATATGTATGTGTGTGTGTGTGTGTATGTGTGTATGTGTGTATATGCATGTGTATGTGTGGGTTTGCATGTGCATGTGTCTGTATGTGTGTGTGCATGTGTGTCTATGTATGTATATGCATATGTGTGTACATGCGCGCGCGTGTGTGTGTGTATGTGCATATATGCGTGTATGTGTGTATATGCATGTGTAGGTGTGTATGTGTGTATATACATGTGTGTGTATGTGTGTGCCTGTATGTGTGTGTATGTGTATATATACATGTGTATGTGTGGGCTTGCATGTGCATGTGTGTGTCTGTATGTGTGTGTGCATGTGTGTCTGTATATGCATATGTGTGTATGTGTGTATATGCATGTGTGTATGTATGTGTATGTGCGTATATGCATGTGTGTATGTGTGTATATACATGTGTGTGTGTTTGTATGTGTGTATGTGTGTATATGCATGTGTGTGTGTGCCTGTATGTGTGTATATGCATGTGCGTGTGTGCCTGTATGTGTGTATATGCATGTATGTGTGTGTGTGTTCTAGCTGGGTTTTCTGAGACTCTGTATTTGTCTTTTTGGCATCCATTTGTCACAGGGCCAATTGGATTCACTATAATTTTCTTGTTTTCTATATTCTTGATGCTCTGGCATGCAGGGACCCTTGCAGACCAACCCTCCCAGAGCTGGCTGATCTTGGAGCCAACACAGGGCTTGACCTAGAGCAGGCAATCCTGTCTGTACCCCAACCACCTGCTTCATCTCACTCGTACACCAAGCCAGCATTTTCCCTGCCCTAGATGACCCCAGAGCCAGGCAAGCAGGGACAGCCCCTATGCCCCAAAGTCCACCAGAATTGTTCTGGCCAGCCAGTCCTGAGCTGCCCACCCGTCTGCCCTGCCCTGCCCTTCCCAAGGAAACCACAAGAAAGGCTGGTGCCTGCTCCTGCCCAACCTAACTGAAACTTCCTGCCTCCCTCCTCTTGCAAATATAAAAATCTCCCTTCTGGGACATGGCCTCTTCGCATTGACAGTCAGTCATACCTCTGTAAACGCACTCCGGGGTATGATTCTCATCCAACCTGTGTGTGTGGGGTGTGTGTGTGGTGTGCGTGTGTGGGGTGTATGCGTGTGTGTGTAAGCTTAGCTCACTTTTGTAGCTCAACACTATAACTACAGGGATCCCCAGCGCCGTTAGTACCCTTTCTCAATGCAATTTGTAATGATTGTATGGCATTCTCTCCTACGGATATACCCAAATCTCTCCTTTTGCTATATTGGATTTGCTTCTGTGGATTTTTTAATTACGCTGAGATGAATCTTTTTTGCATCAATATTTTCCCATATCTTGGGATCTTTCCTTATGTTAGAGGATCAGAAATAGAAGCCCAGGATTGAAGGAACATTTTTGGGTTGCAGGTTCATGTTGACAATATCCTCCAAAAGTCCACCTGCATTTACACTCCACGGAGGATTATCGGTTAAATAAAAGTTCACCAGTTCAACAGGGAAACTGGTGACCAGATGTGCCTTCTTTTGTCGACTGATGAGTCGAGCCTTCTTCCTGGTGTTCAGTGGTCACTCATACTGACATCCTTGAGAACTCCCTACTCCTGTTCTTGACCTGCCTTTCAAGTTGAGGTCTCTTTTAAAAAGGTAAACTGAGGCATAATACACTTTTTAAAGGGTTGACTTGAGCAAATTGCCATTCATGAATTGGGCAGCCCCACACCAGAGTGAATCAGGAGCTCCACCAAGGGAACACAGGGGCAGCTCTGCAAGGACAGAAGGTATCTGATTAGCTGCAGGTTTGTAGTTGCCTAATGTAAAGAAGAGAAAGCACCTGATTGGCCGCAGGTACAGAGTTGCCTCAGGTAAAGCAGAGAAAGTATCTGATTGGCTGCAGGTACACAGCTGCTTTATGGGGCCCATCCCATTGGAAAGTCCCTGGTTATGTAAGTTTGTTGGCTGCCTCTGATTGGTGGAGCTTAAGTTCTGTTTCTCCTTAATGTAGGCATTTGCAAGAAACAGCTCGGTTTCGCTTACCTCTGCAAATCAAGCAAGGGTGAGGTCACTTGTGAGGCCTGCCTGGCACCATCCGCTTGAGCCTCCTAGGGCCTGGTCTCCAGTTTAATGTAACAGGCCGCTAAGACTTCTTTCTTTCTGTTTGGAGAAAGAAGTTCTTTGCTTATGAGGGGATTGTTCTGGGTTGAGTTACATCTGTCTCCATCCCACTCCCCATGTATATGCTGAAGTCGTGACCCCCACTACCTCAGAGTGTGACTCATTTGGAAACAGCCTCTTTGCAGGTGGAATTCGTTAAAAGGAGGCCTGCTGGGGTAGGCTGTGTCCCTGTTCCAGTGACCACTGGCATTCCGGAAAGGGGAGATCTGGACACAGACAAGCTCTGAAGAGGGTGTGTGAGCTGGGAAGCAGACGGGAACTGGGACGCTGCTTCCACCAGCCAGGGAATGCCAGGGGTCCCAGAGGCACGGAGAGAGACCCGGACAGACACTGCCCACAGCCCCAGCAGGAACCAGCCCTCCCGACACCATCTCTGGCCTCTGGCCCCCAGCACCTCGAGAGAGTGGACGTCTGTGGTCTGGACCCTCGGTCTGCGGTGCTTTGTGCTGCAGCCCCAGACCCCCAGGGGTCAAGCCTGACCAGCCGATGGCTGCCAGCATGGTCTCAATTTTCTCCATGGGGACAGAAGGCAGCTCTGCTCCCCTTTCCTGGCAAGGACCCTCAGGGCTGGCCCCGCGTGGTCCATGTCACAGAAGG